GTGTGCAAAGCTGTCATCAAGGCAAAGGGTGGCTATTTGAAGAATCTCAAATATAAAATATATTTTGATTTGTTTAACACTTTTTTGGTTATTTATTTCATAGTTTTTATGTCTTCACTATTATTCTACAATGTAGAAAATAGTAAAAATAAAGAAAAACCCTGGAATGAGTAGGTGTCCAAACTTTTGACCGGTAGTGTATATTACAAAATAATAATAATAATTGGACTAGAAAAGACTAAAAACACCCAGAAATCAGCGCTAAGTGATTTTAATTTTGAAATTCAGTTCCAAGGTATTTCCACGTAAACTCAGCAAAAAAAGAAACGTCCCTTTTTCAGGACCCTGTCTTTCAAAGATAATTCGTAAAAATCAAAATAGCTTCACAGATCTTCATTGTAAAGGGTTTAAACACCATTTCCCATGCTTGTTCAATGAACCGTAAACAATTAATGAACATGCACCTGTGGAACGGTCATTAAGACACTAACAGCTTACAGACGGTAGGCAATTAAGGTCACAGTTATGAAAACCTAGGACACTAAAGAGGCCTTTCTACTGACTCTGAAAAACACCAAAAGAAAAATGCCCAGGGTCGCTGCTCATCTGTGTGAACGTGCCTTAGGCATGCTGCAAGGAGGCATGAGGACTGCAGATGTGGCCAGGGCAATAAATTGCAATGTCTGTACTGTGAGACGCCTAAGACAGCGCTACAGGGAGACAGGACGGACAGCTTATCGTCCTCGCAGTGGCAGACCACGTGTAACAACACCTGCACAGGATTGGTACATCCGAAAATCACACCTGCGGGACAGGTACAGGATGGCAACAACAACTAACCGAGTTACACCAGGAATGCACAATCCCTCCATCAGTGCTCAGATTGTCCGCAATAGGCTGAGAGAGGCTGGACTGAGGGCTTGTAGGCCTATTGTAAGGCAGGTCCTCACCAGACATAACCGGCAACAACGTCACCTATAGGCACAAACCCACCGTTGCTGGACCAGACAGGACTGGCAAAAAGTGTTCTTCACTGATGAGTCGCGGTTTTGTCTCACCAGCGGTGATGGTCGGATTCGCGTTTATCGTCGAAGGAATGAGCGTTACACCGAGGCCTGTACTCTGGAGCGGGATCGATTTGGTGGTGGAGGGTCCGTCATGGTCTGGGGCGGTGTGTCACAACATCATTGGACTGAGCTTGTTGTCATTGCAGGCAATCTCAACGCTGTGCGTTACAGGGAGGACATCCTCCTCCCTCATGTGTTATCGTTCCTGCAGGCTCATCCTGACATGACCCTCCAGCATGACAATGCCACCAGCGATACTGCTCGTTCTGTGCGTGATTTCCTGCAAGACAGGAATGTCAGTGTTCTGCCATGGCCAGCAAAGAGCCCGGATCTCAATCCCATTGAGCACGTCTGGGACCTGTTGGATCGTAGGGTGAGGGCTAGGGCCATTCCCCCCAGAAATGTCCGTGAACTTGCAGGTGCCTTGGTGGAAAAGTGGGGTAACATCTCACAGCAAGAACTAGCAAATCTGGTGCAGTCCATGAGGAGATGCACTGCTGTACTTAATGCAGCTGGTGGCCACACCAGATACTGACTGTTACTTTTGACCCCCCCTTTGTTCAGGGACACATTATTCCATTTCTGTCAGTCACGTCTGTGGAACTTGTTCAGTTTGTCTCAGTTGTTGAATCTTATGTTCATACAAATATTTAGACGTTAAGTTTGCTGAAAATAAACACAGTTGACAGTGAGAGGACGTTTCTTTTTTTGCTTAGTTTATAATAGAGATAAGTGAATTTATACAAACATAAGCAAGGTTTGAAATTATGTTTGAGTCAATTTGCAGTCTACAAATTACTTGGAATTATGTTCCGGCCCCCATAAACTCAAGAAAATAAAAATCGTCCCGTGGCCGAATCTGATCCAGCGGTCTGGACTATCAAAATTAAATAATTCTAAACTGAAGGGATTCTTCAAAAACGTGTAAATGCTCAGATTTGAAAGGTCCGGCTTCAGAGCACAGAATATATAACCTTTATTATCAATGCCCTGTATGGTTTATTAGATACCTTTTCACCATTTAATGTAACAGTATTTACGGGGGGGGGGGGGGGACTGGACTTATTGCTTTACTTCACATCTAAATGCCCAATGCTCATCAACAAACTCACAGAAGAGCAATATTTTTTTATTAAAAGCATCAAGTTTAGAGTAGATACATTTAGCACATCTTGACCCTCCAAAGAATTACAACAGCAAAGTTTCCTTCAGTACATCCTGCAATTGCACCCTCTCTCACATCAGGGGAGGAGTTCGCCTTTCCCCTGGTAAGGCAAACAAAATACATGATCTAATTAGTCAAAAGAAAAAAAAAAGTCACCCCTCAACTTCAGAAGAAATAAATTTTTAACACAAAAATATTTTAAAAAATTGTTGGTCTGTAAGCAAAAAATGCATTTCTTACAAAAACGTTTGTCAATATCGTATTAAAAGAAAAGAGAAAAGCAATTTAATATAAAAAAAAAAAAAAAAAAAAGTTACAAACCATCAGGACTACACAGATCAAGTCTAAATAGGACTTATCCAAAAACAAATGAAAAAGTGACCTTTATATTTGTGAACAGTGGTGGTGCCTTTTCCCTAAACCGGTCACTACAGCTCTTAGAACACAGTGGAGGCCGGTCATTAAACAGACATGAGTCATACCATTTCAGATAGTCTATTGGCAAAAGTTGGTCCTCAGGAAGAAAAAGCCGTTCCAATTATCAACTTTGCCCAGGTCCTTACATGAACTGAACTGAAGTACTCGTTCTAGTGGTCCACTTGTTATGTCAGTCACATTCGGCTTTTAAAGTAGGCCCAGTTTTCTGTTAACTACAGTATACCATCATGTGATGGTCTCCACTGTTCTAAGAGCCTTCTAAACTAACCAGTTACAACCCTCAGGAGTTCTGAAGGCAGGCCCAAAACAGTTTCCCATCCACCCCAGCTCTGTCTGCAAATTAAAATCAATCTGCATTCGCTGGCAGGGGAAGCATCATGAACATTACTGACCAGCCAATGGAAAACAATCCTCAACATCCTATCAAAACCCGCTCTCAAATTACAAACCTCTCAAGGTTTGTATGCTAACCAGATAGATAAGGGCATGCCTTCAGCACTGTAAGGTGGCTATGTATGTACAACATCAGAATGCCCCAGTCCCATCTACATTTGAGCTGATTAAAACAAGAGGAAGGTGAAGCACATTGATCTACTTACACAGGAGGAACAGACTGCAGCACACTACACTGTCAAGCAATACAGCACTAGTAGTCACCTGCGCCACAGTATCACAGGATTTCTCTCACTGAACAAAAGAGCATTGATGGTACACCAAAAAATGCAATGGAGTCACATTTTGGACCAATTCACTGCAAAATGTCTGCACACAATAAAATGTATAAAATGGCAGTTTATGAAACAGTTCTGTGGAATTATCTGGGATCACCCTGGCATGCTCAGATTGGTGGGCCTCTATTGTGTGCTTACCGACTCCTGTATGGGGGGGGGGGGGGGGGGGGTGTTACATTGTTTAGAAAAAAAAAAGTGAAATAAAGAAATGCTTTGCTGGGCAACCACTGCACTAAGATGCACAGGGGGGTGGCCCACACCACAGCTACAAAGGGTCTACTAGGTCTCCGTGCCACTTACATCCAGATATAAAACCCCTCAACGGGCTCCTCTAGTCTAAACAACGCCCTCTACAGTCACGGTTGGCACAGCCTTCATTCTTACACGACTGATTCTTACATTCAAGTTTGAATCTTTTTTATTTTGTATCAAATTTTCATGAATGCATACATTGAGTATTTAAAACAACTGGGGATTATAACAATCAAAGCCATCCCGTTGGTACCATATACTGTAGAAGGAGCCTTGGTTTAAAAGGGCATATATTACACATCCCATACCGTGAAGTACCCAACTGGACATCCTAAATTATTTACTCTAACGCATACTGTTGTCCGAGACAAGTTGAAAGCCTGTCCATTTGTGGACACATTCAACAGCTAAATGATTGTCGAGGCGGAAAGAAGCATGGCTGACTGAACGTGAGTGTTCTGACCCAATTCTAGCAGGAATTCCTTTGGCTCCAGTGCAGTTTACAGCCAAGAACAACTAGATCACATTGACCTAGCTGTCAGCCTCTAGCCAATCCTCCAGTACTGCAACACTAACATAAAGTATTGCATTTTGATTTGACAAGGAATTCATTAGATAGGCTCTGATGTTACATGAGAAAAAAATGTATATGGCCCAAAGCTCACATGCTTCTAATCACTCAAAATATCAAAAGTCATGAACATTCTAGAAGACAAAGTGTTGGCGTTTTCTGTTTTGGTATTGAGGAGTCCTGCTCCATTTGGCTGAAAACAATGTGTTCTTAAACTGCACTCAAAAGGTCAAAAACAAAAAGGATGCAAACTTGCAACAGATTAATGAAGCAGCAAATCAGTTTAGGGAGGAAGGAAGTGTGTGTGTGTGTGTGGGGGGGGGGGGGGGTTGTGTTTCAACTGTCGGTAAGCACATAATACAGCAGGACCCGTCTGAGCAGGTCAGGGCCCTGGACTAGTGTGAGCGGAAGCCCTGTCTGTAGGGAATGAGGGGGGAGACCTGCAGGAAGGGTGCAAGGCTGGCCAGCCTCAAACAGAGAGTGTTTAAATCCTCTGCATGCACTTCAAGATCACAGCAAGAGTGAGCTAGAATATCTAAACAGAGAAAAGAGCTTTCATGCAAGAGATCTAAGTTATAGTTACAACAATGCATACAATTCAAACTGGAGGTTACACTAGTAGGGCCTGTGGCCTCGTCGGAACCAAGAAATCCTGAATAACAATGGCAGCAGAGGGGACTGTGCCTCTCTGCTAGGGCAGAGAGATGGCCGCCGCGGGGGCCTAGCCCCGCTACGCAGCCGCGTTTCTTTTTCCGCTTCTTTTTCATTCTTAATCCTCAACTCTGCTGGTTCTGCTGGCGGCTCTTGGCGTAACTGGTAAAGACAAAATTGTAATCGTTGAATTGGGCCAACTGGCGGTCGAGGCGCTTGTACCCCTCAAGTTTCTGGGCGGAAGAAAAGACACTGCGACATTTGGAGCTCTGCGAGTGAAAACAAAAAGAAAGAAGTTGTTAACAGTGAAAATGCCAAGTACAGTGAAGACTTAAGATGCGATTGAGTCATTTATGAGTGCAATGTTCTGGAAAACAGAGTCAAACATCCACAAGCAACATCAGAACCATTTTGAACGAGGACATACCTGGTTAACAAACAGCGTAGTCACAAATTTTCCTGGCTTAAAGATGTCCACAACTTTCCTGACCAAATCATCGTAGGACGTCTGGGAGAGGTTGGTTTCGAAGCTGACATAGGAGAACTCTGGCTCTGGAGTGATGTGAATCGTCCAGTAAGTTCCCTGTAAGATAAAGACAGACATTTGTTTTAAATGACTTTCAAGGCGGATTTAATGAAGAGCCCTAAGACAAAAACAAAAAAAGCAGACTGACTTTGCTGATAAATACTTTAAGGGAAAATGTACTTGATACGATTGTGATGTGTTGTCTCACCTAGCCATTTTAAGATTAACGCATTAATTGTAAGTCGCTCTGGATAAGAGCGTCTGTAAGATCCACTTACGTCAGTCTTCATTCCATTCATTGAGTATCCACAAGGGTTGAACATTGTGGCGTCAATCACAGAACCTGGTATCAGGTCACGAATTCCACTCATCTGAAAAAAGACAATAAATAGAATGTGCAATGTGCGCTACAAAACAGCAACTACTAATTGACTGATGAACAGTCAGCTTTATGATTGTGTTCCTCTATACAATAAGGGGAATATTACTGGTGGGTACCAAAAGCTATAATTCAATATTATAGCGATATGGGCGGCGCACAATTGGCCCAGCGTCGTCCAGGGTAGGGGAGGGAATGGCCGGCAGGGATGTAGCTCGGTTGGTAGAGCATGGCGTTTGCAATGCTAGGGTTGTGGGTTCAATTCCAACGGGGGGCCAGTATGAAAAATAAAAAAATATTGTATTCACTCACTAACTGTAAGTCGCTCTGGATAAGAGTGTCTGCTACATGACTAAAATGTAAATATAGTTTCATATATGGGCAAGGTATATTGTGATATTTGTGTATTCCTCCCGTTGACCTAAATTATTATGTAAAAAAGCATACACTGTTCCTGCATGCACAAAACCCCTTTCACAAATCTCACAGGCTGTCAACTAGGGCCCTAGAAAAACGATTATTTTTGCATGATTCCATTTTGTTTTTCCAGGTTTTAAAATGTCAATCTAAAAAAAATAAAAAATAAAAATAAAGATTTATTAATAGAAAAACAATAGAATAGGATGTTCCAAGTCCACAACAATGCTTAAACTGCATCAGGAGACCACCCTTTTGAGCTCTGAAAAATTATAGAAATTTAGATTTTGGAGTAAAGTTACCCTTTAATGAAAGTGTGCGCCAGCAAGAGACTGTTTGGTTAGGGATGTTTGTAGCGCTCATGTGATTGCAGAGTTTGCATCATCACTAACAGCTACAAAGTATAGACATACGCAACAGCCGCACACACACACACACACACAGGCATTCTTGTGCCGTTTCAGAAAGTTGCAGGAAAATACAAAATCACTGATGCATTTTATTAATGTCTTATGATTAACCTGGGCAAACTAATGCATTTTCTAATAAGTTCAAAACATTGAGTTTATTTCCTACTAAGTGCAATACATGTTTTATATTGTCGAATTCCGTTTTAATGTCTGGATTCCATGATCCCATCCGCAATGCAGATTTTATAGGGCCCTAGTCAATTTATCATACTTAATTGCCTGCTGATGAGCCATCAATAGTTGATAAACTTCAGATTGTATACAAACTGGTTGGGTAGGTTTGCAGACAATTCAAGTCTGGCCCAATGGGCAATCAACAAGCAGTCGTCTCTACTTCAGAGGCGTGGACGTGAACATTTTACACAGTTGCAATGTTTTTATTTATTTATAAAACCAATATCAATATTGCGTTGAAAAATTCAACTGATACTTTCCATATCGGTGCCCTCATTAGGGAATATCATTACAGAATAAACACCAGAGTGGATCAATGCCATAAGGACAGGTCCCCCTGAACAGTTCCCTACTGAGTGAGCCCTCGTGAAGTCATCAAGAACAAATAACAATATCGAACGTTGCTAGTTTGTGGGCCTTACACGAGTGACATCATTTGCAGAAACACCGTCTTTCATGAAGAACTGATCCATAATTGCTGGATCAAGGTCACTCATCAGAACTTCCAGCGTCTGATCTGCGTGCTTGTTCTCCCAGAACTCTGGCAAATCCAGAGTAAACAGGTACCTGTAGGGAAACAAGTAAGGACATACAGGAAAACATGAACACATTCAGCAGCGCTGGACAGTGTAGTTAAAGTTTAATGGCATTGTCCACTGCATTATTAAGGTCTCATTAATGGAACAGTATCTTGAGTATATTCAGTGAGCATAAAGTGTTGATATGACCTTACCAGCAATCAGAGTTCAAACGTCCCATACAGTACGCTGCTCCATCTGGAGGAGGAAGAGAATGTCATGTGCCCGTGTCTCAAACCCCTCCTGATTAGAGAACAGCATACGAAGGCACAGCCTGTATAGCGTCGCTGACTCACCCCATCCATACATTAGCACACTCTTCCTGGACTCCAACCGTGATTAGAGTTGAGGAATTGAATTTGGAGTGTGGGCATTAGTACTTACTTGGGAAAATCTGGCTGAGAAATTCCACTTCCTCCTGGAAGTTCCGATGAGGGAACTCCTGATGGGTAGGCTTCATGAAGTTCTTGCGAGAATAGAAGAAATTCTGTAGATAGTGAGGAGATGAGGTTAGAACTTCTGAACCTTCCTATCCACGAGAACGTAGACGGTATAATGTACAAACATTACATATCAAAATGTTGACGGATAACATGGTTTATAAAACATTTACAAGAGTATACATTTTTGGGATTTATGAACATGTAAAATGGTATTCCATTTGGTTTGTATGTATGCATGCATAGTGTTCCTTGGACTTCATGGTAGAGTTTATACTCTGACATGCACCGTCAACTGTGGGACCTTATATAGACAGGTGTTTTTCTAAATCATGTCCAAACAATTAAATTGGCCACAGGTGAACTCCAATAAAGTTGTTGTGACATCAAGGATGATCAAAGGACATTGGATGAACCAGAGCGTTCTAGCAAAGGAGTGGGAATACTTATGTAAATGGCATTTCTGTATTTGATTACATTTGTAAAAATGTATGTGTATAGATGGGTGAGAAACCTATTTAATCCATTTGGAAATCAGGCTGTAACAAAATGTGGAATAAGTCAAAGGGGTATGAATACTTTCTGAAGGCACTGAATAATACACACATACATGTGCATATCTTGATAAAAATAAAATCACTTTGGCTACACATGGCCTGTCTGCAAGTAACTTGAAACATTGTATCAACTTGGTGCAGCCCAAAGGTTGTGCTAACAAACTTGCAACATTGTATAAAATATTCTGGACCCTCAGTTTCCAGCGCCAGCGAGCTCTGGACAGACAAGTAATCAAGTAAGCCTATTTTATGATGTTTCCACCGGATCAGAGCATGGCATTTTTTCCCCTCTTTCACTCAGTGGTTATCGAAAGGGAGAGAGCTGGAAATATTTTTCAGAATAGGCTACATTGAGGAACTATTGTCATTCTCAATGGATGTAAACAGAGACTTTGTTTACTTGCTGTTTGAAGTGAAGAAAAAAAGTACTTTGAGAAGCTCCACAGCTCATGGTGGTAGCGAGTTAAGACCATCAGATCCCCAAATGGGCACATGTATAAGCCTACATTTGCACACAGGCCAGGTAGCCTATAGGCCTACTTCTATGCGTAAATCAGGTGTGTGTCCTTACTCAACATTGACAGGAGCGCTCCAAACAAAAACACAATGAATACATTGACAACTCGTAAACGGAATGAAATAAACCAAAACTTGTTTCTCACAAGTGTATCCTAGGTTGTACGCTCTGCAAACGTGTCCACTGACAATAAGAACTGTAAAAGACTAATAATAACAATAATTTGAATGCATTAACAGAATTTATGGTCACCAAACATTGTAGATAAGAAATTATGGGAATTAACGGTAAAATGTACTACTGGTGCGCAATCCCCGCGTCCTCCTCAATGGACTAGTCCACTGAGACGGGAGCCAATCATGATGTGCCATAAACTTTTCTTTTTTCGCAACTGCCCAACAAATATTATTTTTTTAACAAAAAAAGAAAAATGGGTAGACCAACAGCCTATCCACCAGTCGACTAAATGGGGGTCAACAGTATGTCTGTAGTCAGGGTTGCCCAACCCTGTTCCTGGAGAGCTACCCTCCTGTAGGTTTTCGCGCCAACCCCAGGTGTTACTAACCTGATGCAGCTAATTATTAGAATGAGGTGTGCTAGATTAGGTTTGGAGCAAAAACCTACAGGAATGTAGCTCTCCAGGAACAGGGTTGGGCAGTCCTGTATTAGGTGGTATACCATGTAATTTGGAAAAAGCCACGTTTTTTTTTTAATACCATCAACTATTTATTTGAAGTTTAATAAAAATGTGACTATTTGTAGCTATTTTAAGTTAATACCTGCAGTCAATTTGTGCAATACATTAGGAGAAAGCAGATTGTGTTCTTCAATTCACCGGTCACATTATGAAGCTTACCGTAGTTTGTTTTTAAATAGCACAGCGGGAGCCGGTGAGTCCATAGCGTTCTATATCTATCGGCGAGTCTCTGTTGTACGGTGCACATGAAGTTAGACTTGTATGCAATTCACTACTAAATGTTTGCCATCAGATATCTTATGCTTTCTGCCAGAAGTCAAAGAACTCTGGATGAGTCATCTGTACAGTTGCCATTTCTTCACTGTTCTTCCCCCCTCCTCCGTTCTTCCCCCCTCCTCCGTTCTTCCCCCCTCCTCCGTTCTTCCCCCCCTCTGCTCAGTGTACACATGCTGCTCTTCCTTCAGAAAAGCATGCATCACAACTTTGTTCATTTGCACAATTTCTCTCGTTCATGTCCACACTCACAGAAAAATGCACATTTGGTAGCTACTAGCTATGCTTGTATAAATGTATGAGCTGGATTTGACCATCTTTGCAATTACACTGAAAAAAACAACATGCAACAAATTTAAGATTTTACTGAGTTAGTTCATAGGAAATCATTCAATTGAAATAAATTAATTAGGCCCTAATCTATGGCTTTCACATGACTGGGCAGGAGCGCAGCCATGGCCGGGCATAGGCCCACGTACTTGGTAGCCAGGTACACCCACTGGGGAGCCAGGTCCAGCCAATCAGAATGAGTTTAACCACAAAAGGGCTTTATTACAGACAGAAATACTCAAACGCCCCCCTCCCCCTCAGACGATCCCGCAGGTGAAGAAGCCGTATTTGGAGGTCCTGGGCTGGCATGGTTACACGTGGTCTGCGGTTGTGAGGCCGGTTGGACATACTGCCAAATTCTCTAAAACTATGTTGGAGGTGGCTTATGGTAGAGAAATGAACATTCATTTCTCTGGCAACAGCTCTGTTGGATATTCCTGCAGTCAGCATGCATATTGCACCCTCCTTCAATTTGAGACATCTGTGGCATTGTGTTGTGACAACTGCACATTTTAGAGTGGCCTTTTGTTGTCCCCAGCACAAGGTGCATCTGTGTAATGATCATTCCGTTAAATCCGCTTCTTGATATGCCACACCTGTCAGGTGGATGGATCATCTTGGAGAAAGGCGAAAAGCTCACTAACAGGGATGTAAACAAATTTGTACAAAAAAAATTGAGAGAAAGCTTTTTGTGCGTATAGAACATTTCTGGGACCAACACTTTACATGTTGCATTTATTTTTTATTCAGTATAGTTCGTTCTAGCTCGTTAGCATTTAGCCAACAGTGTCTACGTGATTTCGCTATCAGTTTGTGCTAATGTTGTTAGCATTCTAGTAATAGAGGCCCAAAGGGCTTTTCTTGCGTTTTTAGTGCCCCTGTGTGTGCTATGCCGGTAATACCGTAACTCCCCGGATGAGATCAGGACGGTATGAAAATCTGGATACGTCCGAGCCTAGTATGTACATACATATGCACACATACATAGGGTTTGGTAGGTTACTTTCTAAATGTAATCTGTTAGATACCTGTCTGAAATTGTAATCAGTAACGCAACTTTTGGATTACCCAAACTCTAAAGTAATCTGATTACTTTCCCCTAAGAGGCATTAGAAGACAAAAATGAATACCACTTGGACATCTACCGCAGGATAAATCAATATTGGAGTTTACATAGCTGGCCATAAATGGAGGTTGCATTTTTCTTTATGGGTTATGAAGGCTTCTTCTTCCCCATTGCTTTCTACTGCAATACAGATAATACGATTAGGCTATATCTTTACATTAAAAACCAAAGTGGCAGATTTCCAGTCATTCCAATTAATTGATCTTCAAGAATAGGACTTGGAAATATAGATAGCCTAATAGTTTTACTTAAGCATAACCCAAAAACGAAGGACTTATTAGCGTACTCCGTTTATAATTTTGTTGTCATGGGAGGATTGATTGGGCTCATTGTGTCGAGTTGAAAAATAAAATGCTGCTCTCATGGAATGGCATGCTTTGCAGGACTCTAGAGTGACCATTTCACCCACATATATGCTGCTAAATATTTTGCTGTGCGACCTGGAATTTTAAATTTAGGAGCACCAGTGCGCCTAGAAAAATGAAGAATTCTAGCTTTATGTCCTAAAATATTTTTCATTGTGCTCCTAAATGTCTTAATATAACTTAGGCGCACACATGCTCCTTGTAAAGTGTCAGCATAGAGCCCTTTGAGCACTAGCGTTTTTGAATGTGACAAATGTATGCCATATGCTGCATTGGCTATACCCATTGTTTACGTTTGTGTTGGCGACACTGATTTTGATAATTTGCAGCTGTTTAAACGGAAATCTCACAATTTTTCAACTTCATATTCATCTCCAGCACCACCTCAACATATGTGAAACTTGCACATTTGTGTTTTGTAGTAGAAAATACAGAGGAAGATCTGTGCATCATGTGATTTTAACCATTGGTTGATGTCATTGGAAACACTTATCTTCCTCCATTTTTGAAAATGTAGGCCTATGGACTTTTGTTGCACAAATTAGACTGAGCAATAAGCCTCAATTGTGTTATTTTTTTTTTTTTAAGAAGCAGCAGTGTGATTCACATCATTGTACTATGTAGATATCAAGTGATATCTGGAATCACCCATAGGCTACACCACTGCTGTTGTCCTTACCCAACTTAAAAAAGTAAAATCAGATTTAGCAAAAGTACCTGTAATCGGATTACAATATTTTTGCTGGTAACGTAACAATACAGTGTTTTTTTTTGGTAATCAGTTACTCCCCAACTCTGTGTGTGTGCGCGCACGCGTCACACTGACCTCGATAGCATCAAAGCCACAGTACTCCCTGGCCAGTTCCAGCAGAGGCATCAGTGCTTGCAGTAAGAGGGTGGTTCCACACGTCTTCAAAATGAAACGTCTCTTGGAGACAAACATGCTACTCTCACTGAATGGACAAAGGGACAGAAGGAGAATAGCAATATTAGGAGTTTTATACGCGTTACATACATATCACAAGTTACACACTGTTAAATAGCCTTAAGCCTAATTCGTTTTTTTTGACATGAGCTCAATTTACATCCACATGCATGTACAACTGCATAATTCCTCAGGTTCGACGCCTTCCAGCTAAGTAAAGTGTACTATTCAGACACCTGGAGAGTTTTAAAAAGACACCATGACGTGGCTGACTGACAGCCAGCCATGGCCCGGCATTACCCTGGTGACCGCTTACCATTGATTCTATAGAGGGTACACCTAATCAGCAGATACTACAAAAAGCTTAAGTCTGCCTTGAGCCTGAATTCCAAACCAACCACAGGGCCTTAGTGCATTAATGTTATCATGGGCCCGAAATTGTTTACAGCAGTCTAGCATTCAGGCCCACATTAGACTCCTTGAGGAAACATAGCTGGGTTATCATTAGTCATCATATAGTTACAGACTAGTCCCTGGAGGAGCGCAGGGTGATGTTTTCTAAGGAACACAGTCGCTTGACTGCAGTATAGCTAGTGAGTAGTGATTGGGGGGGGGGGGAGAATATATATTTTTTTACGATTAGCCTATCATTCCTTCAAAATATCACAATACTATTTTTGCACTAGTTTGCTGTACCTGCACCAAAACTCCAGTATTTTTCCTTCATATCTTGTTCGCCTTTAAAAAAATATATATCTTTATTAATAGGGAGCCAATTTGTTTACAGCACTATTTCATGGCTCCCTTGTCCCTCTGTAGTAGTCGTATACCATGATCATACAAAACATTAAACACCTGCGCTCCATGATAGACTGACCAGGTGAAAGCTACGATCCCTTATGGAGGTCAGCTCAATATTAGGAAGGTGTTCCTAATGTTTGGTATACTCTGTGTATAGTGAGCAATATATTTGGAACATCGAATCTCAATAAAATTGCAGTATCGAATTGCAATACATACCGGCAACTAAGTATTGTGATAATATCGTATTGTGAGGTCCCTGGCAATTTCCAGCCCTACTAGTGAGAAGGAAGAAGTTTCAGTGAGGCATATATAGGTTTACAACGCCAATGTTGTCTACTTGCAGTCAAGCAGAGAGCGGTCACAAGTATTCCTCTCCTGAATCAGCACTGTCCCATTACCATAACAAACATCAGAGTGAAGGAGAACGCTACTCCGTTGTGCTAGCGCCGGCCCTGTCAAGGTCTGTGCAACAGCTAGACAGATCATCCCTACTCCACTTCTCTTCTAATCTGCACTCGTTCCCAGACGGTTGTAGGTGGGCCTTAACCGGCAGAGGGAGCTGAGAGTAGAGACCGCTCAAAACAGCCTCCGCAGCCAGACTAACACACCCAGGGTCAGGCGTGTCCTTTTCACTGGCAATGATTACGTGACCCAAAGGCCAGTCCGAGTACACTGGCATCACACAAAAGTCAGTTTTCACCATCAGAGATTGATTTCTAGGAACCTAAAATTGGCAACTTGTGCCTGATGTGCTTGTGTGGGCTGCCAGGGTGCTCATTTAGCTGCCTTTCACCCATCCATCTGGACTCAGATAAGGCAGGTCATTAGGCTCTTCAGAATAGAGCCAGAGAGATAAAAAAAAGAAAGGTCCCTGCTCAGTCAGTCAGTCCTTTCACCCCAGGGGAGAGAAGAGTTTCCATGCAGCCATTCACAATGAGACGATTACAGATGACCCAATCCCTGCTCTCTAATCTGGAAAAGGGACAAGCCAAGGTGACAGTGGTAAACAGAACAGGGATCCGGTCGCTACTCACCTGAGTATATAAGCTTCCTGCTTGTCAGTCTTTGTCACACTTATGATCAAACAGTGCACATTCTCCAGAAGTTTGTCCCACTCAAACCTGAAAAGACAAAAAGCTTTTTTTTTTCAAGGCGTTTTTTGTACACTGCAGCACAATTTAATAGTTCAAGATTTGCTTTTTCAAAATAGAAGCAACTGTCTGAGGCTTGACTGTAGTTCTACTGCTATCAGACAATTTGAATAAAGACTACATCTAGGCTAATCATTTCACAATTATAGGCATGGCATTTTTGGGGTGTCTAACTGGTGTGACTGATGACTAAATGGACAGTGAAAGTAATCTACCAACTGAAACCATAAGGGCTGTCTAACAATGAATATCTCGCTTTAGATTTAAAAAGGCCTAACCAACTCACTATATTCACATAAACAAATAAATGTTTGAGGTTAGTAGCAGTGGGAAAAGAGTGGGCAGAAAGACCCCAGTACTATACACATGGGTTGATTTTGAACAGGGTCTAGAGCCCTGGCACAGTGCAGACAGCAGGCAGGTGCAGAGTCTCTCTCTGGAAAACACTGGCTCCCTGCTCTACTATAGGCTACTATTAAGCAACAGCCTGCTCACAAGCCAGAGCAGGTAGAAGATAAAACCATTTTCTCAACCGCATCTGTTTTGAAAACATTTAATACCTGTTGGAATTAGGCCTACTGTTGACTGTGGAGGATCATCCAAAACAGTTATAATAGTTTAGCTCAGGGATGGGAAAGTGGCGGCCAGCGTGCGCCCCACCGTGTAGGCCCGTGGATCAATTACCAAAACTAAAATAATTACAAATATATTTGAGGAACTCAGTCGGGGTCTCAATTTACTGTTGGTAGTTAGAATACACGAGGCTAGGGCCGGCTCTGACCGCATGTGTGGGTATGGATGAGTCTACACAGACCCGCTGTCATTCATGCCATAGGCCACTCCTAATCCATGATGTTCTAACAACCACGAAAACCCTGGCTTTCCCTTGGATTGGCAAGAGTAGCCATGAACCTTGCCACAGAGAGGCAGGTGAAGAGAACCATTTGTCAGTCCTTCTCATTCATTGAAATTACATGTATATCAGAATGCACTTATATTTAGTACCAAGTCTCATCTATGGCAATTGCCATTCCAAAACTATACTGAACAAAAATATTTTAAAAAAAACGCAACGTGAAGCGTTCGTCCCATGTTTCTTGAGCTGAACTATAAGATCCCAGAAAATGTCCATATGCACAAAAAGCTTATTTCGCTCAAATTTGGTGCACACATTTGTTTACGTCCCTGTTAGTGAGCAGCTCTCCTTTGCCAAGATAATCCATCCACCTGACAGGTGTGTGATTCACCTCTTAAGGATCGGACCCTTTTTATTTTCCTTCTTAAATTTTTCGCCTAAAATGACATACCCAAATCTAACTGCCTGTAGCTCAGGACCTAAAGCAAGGATATGCATATTCTTGATACCATTTGAAAAGGAAACACTTTGAAGTTTGTGGAAATGTGAAATTAATGTAGGAGAATATAACATTAGATCTGGCAAACGATAATACAAAAATATATATACACGTTCTCTTTTTTTTGTTCCATCATCTTTGAAATGCAAGAGAAAGGCCACAATATAATACTGCAGTTTTGGCGCAATTTAGAATTTCGCCACTAGATGGCAGTAGTGTGCAAAGTGTCAGATTGATCTAGTGAAGCGTTGCAATACTGGACTATTTTGTATCAAGTCTGCCCAAATGTGCCGAATTGGTCAATTGATACATTTTCAACTACATAACTATAGAGAACAATACACAAATGATATGGTAATACAAAATGTAAGTTCACACTCCCAGGAATGTCATACATGATGGATCATTAGCTTATACACCAACTTGCACACATCTAGATGGCAGGGCAGGGTGGGTGTGGCGCCAGAGACAGCAGGGGTTCAAACTGTAGAACCAAACTATGCTACATTTTCTCTCGGACCCTTAGGATGACAAATCCGAGCAAGATTACGGAATGGGAGTACATTATTTACCTTCAGAGGTGAACGTATCAAACCAGTTGCCGTGATACGTTTGTTGTTGTGCACTCTCCACAAACAATAGCATGGTATTTTCTCACAGTAATAGTTACTGTAAATTGGACAGTGCAGTTAGATTAACAAGAATTTAAGCTTTCTGCCCATACAGTGAGGGAAAAAAGTATTTGATCCCCTGCTGATTTTGTACATTTGCCCACTGACAAAGAAATGATCAGTCTATAATTTACTGGTAGGTTTATTTGAACAGTGAGACAGAATAACAACAAAAAAATCCAGAAAAACAAATGTCAAAAATGTTATAAATTGATTTGCATTTTAATGAGGGAAATAAGTTTCTGGCTCCCAGGTGTCTTTTATACAGGTAACGAGCTGAGATTAGGAGCACACTCTTAAAGGGAGTGCTCCTAATCTCAGCTTGTTACCTGTATAAAAAGGCACCTGTCCACAGAAGCAATCAGATTCCAAACTCCACCATGGCCAAGACCAAAGAGCTCTCCAAGGATGTCAGGGACAAGATTGTAGACCTACAAGACCATCGCCAAGCAGCTTGATGAGAAGGTGACAACAGTTGGTGCGATTATTCGCAAATGGAAGAAACACAAAATAATTGTCAATCTCCCTCGGCCTGGGGCTCCATGCAAGATCTCACCTCGTGGAGTTGCAATGATCATGAGAACGGTGAGGAATCAGCCCAGAACTACACGGGAGGATCTTGTCAATGATCTCAAGGCAGCTGGGACCATAGTCACCAAGAAAACAATTGGTAACACAAACACATTAGCGCACGTTAGCTCAACCGTCCCGTATACGGGACACCGATCCCGTAGAGGTTAAACAGCATGATCATTACACAGGTGCACCTTCTGCTGGGGACAATAAAAGGCCACTAAAAATGTGCAGTTGTCACAACACCACAGATGTCTCAAGTTGAGGGAGTGTGCAATTGGCATGCTGACTGTAGGAATGTCCACCAGAGCTGTTTTAGAGAATTTGGTAGTACGTCCAACCGGCCTCACAACCACGCCAGCTCAGGACCTCCACATCTGGCTTCTTCACCTGCGGGATCATCCGAGACAAGCTACTAGGACAGCTGATGAAACGATGGGTTTGCACAACCGAAGACTTTCTGCACAAGCTGTCAGAAACAGTCTCAGGTAAGCTCATCTGCGTGCTCGGCGTCCTCACCAGGGTCTTGACCTGACTGCAGTTCGGCGTCGTAACAGATTTCCGTGGGCAAATGCTCTGACTGGTCGTGATTCATGCCCCTACTTTTTTTTTTTTTTTTAAGGTATCTGGGACCAACAGATGCATATCTGTATTCCCAGTCATGTGAAATCCATAGATTAGGGCCTAAATAATTTATTTAAATTGACCGATTTCCTTAGATGAACGCCAACTCAGTAAAATCATTGAAATTGTTGCGTGATGAGTTTATAGGGTGTTCAAAACTACCTTCTTTAAATAGAGGGAATGAGTAAGGTGGTCATTTCAGAAACTGATCACTAAAGGCGTCAGCATGCTTCAGTTTGGCTGGTGGCTAGCTGAAGTCGGCTAGGCGAACGAGTGTGCTCACACACTCCCTTAAAAAAAAACAAGAAAAAAGCAGCAATAGTACAGTTTATTTTTGAGACGCCATAGCCAGTATAAACTTCCTTAAGCCAACTCAAGAAATGTCATTGAAGTTTTTGCTGGAGAGTTTAGTCGCGCAATTTTACATCTAACTAAGATGTTGGTGCAGTATTTTTCAACAAAAAAAAGTGCATTAAAACAAGTCATCTCTCGTTGAATGACAGACTATTGAAGAATCCCTACCATTGACCAATCACCGACGAAGGGGCGTAGACGTCGTCGCCGAACGTCGGCTTGCCTCCAGATTTGTATTTTGTGGCCCGAACAGCCGAAAAATCCTTCACGAAGGACTGGCAGCAAAGGTTCTCAGGCTCCAAGCATACCACTGCTGGCTTTCCTCTGAAGCTAAGCAGGGTTGGTGGGAGACCAGATGCTGCTGGAAGTGGTGTTGGAGGGTCAGTAGGAGGCACTCCCTCCAAAAAATAAAATTCCAATGCCCCAGGGCAGTGATTGGGGACATTGCCCTGTGTAGGGTGCAGTCTTTCCGATGGGACGTTAAACAGGTGTCCTGACTCAGGTCACTAAAGATCCCATGGCCCGTATCGTAAGAGTCTTAACCTAGTGTCCTGGCTAAATTCTCAATCTAGCCCTGATACCATCATGACCACCTAATCATCCCAAGCTTCCAATTGGCTATAACTAGTAAAGTAATGTACAGATACCCCAAAAAACTACATAAGTAGTACTTTGACATAGTTTTACAGCACTGATTAGGGCAATGCAAAAAATAGGCATAGTTTGAAGGGTTTTGTAGATGGGGCCATCAAATTAGGTGTACAAGTAACAGTACCAAAATAAAGACACCAGGAGTTAGTTGAATTTACTGTTCATTCATGCATGGATCCCGATTGAAAAATTACACTTGTGTAGATTGGCTTCAGATAAGTGGTTGGCAATCAACGCAAAGTGATCAGGTATGTTTGTTATCGCTTACCTATTGATTCTGTTAATGGCTTTCGAACATTGTGCATTGCAGATGTTGTAAATCTTGAGCGGCGAGAGACCATGATTGCCAATGCAGCATATCAGAGAAAAAAAAAAGACAGCCGTGGCCACAAGGCGCTACAGTCAGTACCACATCGTGACGCAGAGAACAAGTGAAATGGAAAATTACTACAGTTAACTAGAAGATACACAATGACACCAACAACTTCAGAAGTTGGGTTGTAGACATAACTAGCTACCTGGTTACATAAGACACAACATCGCATAAAGCTAATTAGCTATTTAGTGTCAAGTCAAATCCGTGGGCAACATGTTGAGATCACCCTAGCATGGATACGTCGAACACCAATGCATTCGCAGTATGCGAAAAACCAACGCTGGTCAAACTCACCCCAAGCTGACCCCTTTTCTTGGCAAAACAATTTGCTAGATTGCAAATTGCGATACCTTACATTGCAATAACGGTACAAGCCATATTCAGATACATTTCTGAACATGTTTAATGAGTATTACTGGAGAGCTAATGAATGACAGTAGGGGACATTCGTTAGCAGCTTACTGAATGGAATGAATGAATGAATGACTCGGCTACGGCGTTACCCCTAAGCAAGTGCCAAGCTAGTGGTCGAATGTGGGGGGGATGGTAATTCATTCTGAGTGACGACGTTATCTCAATTTAGCTAGCCAACTGGCTAACACTACGTGTTCACATTAGCCACCACATGACATGTCAGTGAAATATGTTGTGGTTTACGAGATAACTGAGTTCCATATCATTAAAACCGACTAACGTTAACAAGAGAAATAAAGCCTCGTTAATGTTTATTTCTAGCGCGTGTTGAGTGTTGAATCTCCATCCAGTCTTCTTCAGATGACGGATTGCTGGAGTACAGGGGCTAGTAGCTTAGCTAACGTTAGCTAGCTAAAAAGGCAGAATGTATTAATCACATCTTCACTTCACAAACCTTGGGATGGTACGGAGGTCCCCTGTTCCTTTGGTCTCATCTTGCCGGGAGAACCACACCTCCAACAGCTTCTCCGTTCCCTCGAAGAAGTGTGCACCGTTCTCTTCCATCGTGAGACAAGACACCAACAGAAATTAAACGTCGGTTACGTATTCAATTGAATTAGCCCTTGTTTGATAGTTATAATGTAATAAGTACAGTCCTTTAGCAATCCAGGTGTAATTTCTTGGTTTAACCGTCTTCCCTTTTACAGAGAATACTGTAAAGCAAATGCTAGCTAATATCGCCGGCCATACTGCGTAAAGCCCAGAATGAGGACTGCGTAGAGGTTTTATTCACCTAGCCTAATACGTCACCCCCAAGTTAATCGAATCACGTTGCTGGGTTCTTGTTGATGAAGTGGCGATTGGCAGTGGCAACTGTCAGCGTGACAAAGTTGTACATAGCTAATCTCAAATCTCAAATGATAAAACATTTAATTGGCAGATATAACATATTTCCCTGATAATGAACGCTACTCTGCGTTCAGGTAAGCTGTTCCCGTCTGCTCTGAAAACATGTAGCAGCTTCCAAGCCTTCTCGACAGAACATTAAAAACAAAAAATCAAGTCTAATCAGTCATGCACTCATTGATTTTAACTTAAAAGGCCATAGGTCCTACTGACTTTTAATGCAACAGAAGACACGTAAGTACATACACAGGTGTAATTGCAATACGTACGTTAACTGGGCTATGTAAAATATTTCGTTTTTTATTTTTATTTTTTATAGGGATATTACATGTTCTATCCAATAGCAATGTGTTTCTATGGGCAATGTTTTGACTTCTATGTTGAAACAAGTCTCTATGTCCTGATCTCTGTTTTTTTTAACTGTATGATGTATTTCTGTTTTTCTGTTTTGTATATAATGTTTCCATGTCTAGATGTTCACCGATGTCTAGACGTTTTAGGGACTACAGATGGAAATTAGCTATTAGCTAAATCTGGTGCGACACATGTTGTCTCAGTGCTATGGGACATGTTTTTGTTGTTCATTGTCCCTGCCAAATAAACGTAATAAATACAATTAATAAAGGTATCTAGGCCTACTTCTGTTCTTCATAAACGATTTTTGGTGATATGGATGTCATAATAGTGTAATATGATTGCATAACCATATTTTTAAAAGAGATTACAAATTGCATGCAGATTTGCTACATGCACCTCTCTCGTGTAAAAGCGCAAGGCTAAAACTAATAGATGCCACAGGTGGGATTATATAGTACAGCCTATTCCTCTGGTTGAAGCTACTTCAATATACCTCTTTCTATTCAAAAACATATTGGAGACCTGTTGGGTGAAACTTCAAAAGGATGACACATTTGTTGTATATGAAATGTTACAACTGATCCACACATTTTTTGAGCGCGTTCATGAGTACGCAAGTGCAGTTACTGCAGCGCGAAATGCGGAGTGTAGTTTTACAGACCTTTTACTTCTATGTTGATGAGTCAAGCTAATGCTTTTGTAAACTACCTTACCCAGAAAGCCTTGCGTGCCAATTAGAAACGTCAACGAGCCAGTGAACATTAAGCGGAGCAGACCAAAATCCCAAACAAGGAAATGGTGGGGGAATAAAACGACCATATTATTTAATTAATGCATGTTATAATTCATATTTTATTTTATTGTAAATTAAGAAATATTTATGGGTTAAAATGGATTACGACTTCAAAACAAAGCTCGCAGCCGAACGAGAGAAGGTAGAAGATCTGTTCGAATATGAAGGTTGCAAAGTGGGTCGAGGCACCTACGGGCACGTTTATAAAGCTAAGCGCAAAGACGGGTAAGATTCAGATAACCTTATTGTTTACTCAATAAACTGATTGCAGAATGCCTTATCAAGACTAGGCTATATATATCCTTGCACGTTGGACAGAGCAGAGGATAGATTTTAACTACCCTGAGCGCTGCCCGTGTCTCTGTTTTTGTTTTCATGTACGCACTCCACACTCACTCAACGGTCCTCCCCCAAAACAACACAGTGATTATGTTTATTATTTGACACACTGTTCGTGGAAGCGCAGGCTACTTTCAACATGAGTTATTTGCCTAATATCACCAGTAGAAATGTGTAGGTGTAATGATATTCTCTGATCTTGTTCAACTTGGCTTAGTCTAAAATAATCATATATCCTATTATTGCCAAGTTCTCTCAAGAGCACTTACATAGTCGAACTCGATGCAACGCTAAACTCCTTTTGGTGCTTGAATGCAAAGAAAATAAGTGGATATATATAGAATATATTTATTTGGCTATTACTGTATTAATACGGTTTTCTAATATCCTATAGATAAAATACCCATATCACACTTCTTACACGTCTAATCGTTTTCTAATTTGTGCTGTTGTTGTTCCTAATTGACCACTTATGTTGCAATGTCACCAACATTTCTGTGGGATAATAGAAAATACCATATATTTTTTTCTCTCTCCCTGCAGCAAGCAAGTGATTTTGCTGTGTTTGATTCTCATTTGTGCACCAATCTCATGATATGCCTGGAGCATCTGGTGTCTCCTCAAATTGGAGGGAAAGTGGAAATGTAAGCCTATATCGGTTTTAAGGAGGGTAGATCACTATCACCTCAGGATTGACTGATCAGTGCAGATGAGTTTATGTTGTTAATGTCTGATAGGGAAGTCAGTGTGATATGGATATTTTGTCCAAAGTAGCAGAATATGTCCTATCTGTAATAAACAAGTTGCACAATTTGAATGGCAATCAAACAGTTGAAGGTCATTTTTCTCTATCAAGGCAACTGGTGATTTGGCATAGGGCCTTCTGGAGTGAAAGGGCCATCTGGTGTTCCGTTCCTTGCATTTCCTGCGCCTTCGTACAGGTAGCTTTACCTGTCGTTCGAGTAGTCTGACAAAACAGTAGATTTTTTTTCTTCACAGTTTGCGTATTCATTCATGTCATTTGTAGGCTTACACAATGGAGGCTACTAGGCTATTGATAGCATTGCCCACTTTATTTAGTAGTAAGCATCCTGGATAGTGTCTCTCAGTGGTGGCGGTCCTCATGAGAGCAAGTTTCATCATAGCGCTTGATGGTTTTTGCGACTGCACTTGAAGAAACTTTCAAAGTTCTAGACATTTTCCAGATTGACTGACCTTCATGTCTTAAAGTAATGATGGCCTGTTGTTTCTCTTTGCTTATTTGAGCTGTTCTTGACATAATATAGGACTATCTTCTGTATACCACCCCTACCTTGTCAGAACACAACTGATTGTCTCAAACGCATTAAGAAGGAAAGAAATTCCACAAACTAACTTTTACCAAGGCACACCTGTTAATTGAAATGCATTCCAGGTGACTACCTCATGAAGCTGGTTGAGAGAATGCCAAGAGTGTGCAAAGCTCTTTTTTGGTTACTACATGATTCCATATGTGTTATTTCATAGTTTTGATGTCTTCACTATTATTCTACAATGTATACTAGGTGTGTCCAAACTTTTGACTGGTACTGTATGATGAAGTCTTTATAAAATAATTGCCTCTACGTTTCTATGGTGGGATTTTGGCTATAGGCTACTTTGAAGCAAGGTAAGACATGCCTCATCATTTGAAGTAAAATGTCCAGGTTTCAAACAATTAAGGAAGAGGAAAAATATAGCCATGCTAAAGATAGGCCTAACTGTCTTCTGGTAGTTGGAAAGGCTTCCCCAAAAACCTTCTCAATTAAATGTTTACTAGCTACAAAGTAGCCTATGCCTACCTGGCAGAATGATATCATGATTATTTGCATCAATCCAGTGGCCATTTGTTTTGCAAACTCCATCTCATGTGCTCTACATAAACAACAGTGCTAGGTGCCTGCACAGTTCAATTAAAGGGTAAATACACACACACACAAATAAAGTGGTCTCCTGATGTGGTTTAAGCATTGCTGTGGACTTATAACGTCCAATTTTGTTGTTTTTCTATTAAAAAAGTGTGACTTTGAGAGCGAAAACCTTTTTCTTTTGTCTGGAAAGATCAGAAAGCTATGAATTTCTGACTCAGTTGACAGGCTCATTTATCTATTTCAATAGTAGGCTTACTATTAGCCTACTTGCACAGTACAGCTTGGGTTGGCCTGACTGAAAGACCAATATGGGATTTATAATTTTAGATCATTCAGAGTGTATGTCACTGTTTGTCATAGAATGTTTCACACCGGGTGCCTTTCCTTCGCCGTTTGGGAAATCTTTGACAAAATTTGAGTATACCCACTTCTCCAGGCACAACTACACCACTGGTGTCTCTGTCAACATGCAGATAGCCGATATATATATAGTCATACTACTCAACTAGGCCCTACAATATTTATTGTTAACCTAGCCAATCTTTAGAAAAGGGCAATTCCACAGTAACAGAATGATTCTGAGACTCAGATTTTTTTGTAGACTTTAAAACGTATGCCAGGGGCCTCCCGAGTGGCACAGCGGTCTAAGGCACTGCATCGCAGTGCTAGAGGCGTTACTACAGACCCGGGTTCATTCCCGGGCTGTGTCACAATCGGTCGTGGCCGGGAGTACCATAGGACGGCGCACAATTGGCCCAGCGTCGTCCGGGTTAGGGGAGGGTTTGGCCAGTGGGGCTTTATTTGGCTCATCGCACTCCAGTGACTCCTTGTGGCGCGCCAGGTGCCTGCAGGCTGACCCCGGTCGCCAGTTGAATGTTGTTTCCTCTGACACATTGGTGCGGCTGGCTTCCGGGTTAAGCTGGCGGGTGTTAAGAAGCGTGATTATGCGGGTCATGTTTCGGAGGACGCATGACTCCACCTTCGCCTCCTCTCCCGAGCCCGTTGGGCTGTTGCAGCGATGAGACAAGATCGAAAAAATTTGGGAGAAAAAGGGGGTAAAAAAAATAATTACAGAAAATGTATAAATATGTATGCCAAACAAAAAACAATGATTGCAAAATTAAACAAACCATACAACGCTATACATAATGACTACTTTTAACAATTTCCACATTTTTATTTTACAAAAACACATTTACTTGAAGAACAGTGCAGATGCAAAGTTTGGAAACAGAATGACAGCAGTTACAGCACAAACCATCATTCTGTTACCAAACGTTGCATCTGCACTGTTCTTCAAGTAAATGTGTTTTTGTCAAATATTCAGTGGAAATTGTTAAAAGTAGTCATTGTGCATAGAATTGTATGGTTGTTAAACTTTGCATTTATTGGTTTTTTGTTTGACATACATTATAAATGGAAAAATCTGAGTCTTAGCATCATTCCGTTACCATGGAATTGCCTAGTAACTGAGACATAGGCCAAGCGTCGTCGTCGTTATTGTTGTTGTTGTTGTTGTTGTTGTTGTTGATGATGATTTTTCAGTGATGCATGCTTTCAGGGGTGGTGCAGTAGGCCTAGCATTTTAGTTGCAAATGCTTGCTCTTCAATCCCTTATAGAGAGTCTAGTTGAACAGCATGTTGAAGAAAACTCTCATGCGCAGCAGCCAGTCAATGTATTTTATGATCGCACCTCATGTATTGTAATAAAGGCACTGCTAAGGTTTTAATATTAGTTTCACGTGCACCACATAAGACATGAAGAATGAACCATCCTTGCTGGTCAGGAATATAAAACACTCTTCGTGCAAAGTTTGCCAAGTAGATAAAAAAAATATAACGTCAGATAGAACTTAGTAATTGTCAGTGGAACATATTGAGACAATGTTTTGTTGGTTTTTCCACAAGGTTTTTCCCACTGTAGGCAATAAATAGCAGAAGGAGCACTTTGATGAGGTGTGAGGACATGCTTTCTCTCTGTAAACAGAGAAGAGGGAGTGTCTCTATCCTCATATATGTGATTGGGAACATGAATCAGGCTTGTGGCCAGATGAGTGTAGGGGCCATGCAGGCTTGTTGAGAGGCACAATAGGCAACCTTTGGACTGTGTGCGACAGCCCTACCCACTCTGGACCCCTGCCAGCTCCTCCAGGAATCTCTGGACACTAATCGAATGTGAATTCCCAGAACAGCTGTAATTCACCATCCCTGTTATGTGGTGGAGCTTATTATGAAAAATATGTTTAGTGTAAATGGTAATAAATAAAAAAAAGAAGACAAATAAATGCAATTTACCCATCTACCCCTCCAACTCACGTTGTGTTCTGGTTTTTGTTTGTGCATTAGCACTTTTTGGACTTGGCAGTCCTCTGTGTTATGTGTTGTTCGTGATAATAAAGTGCTATGTTTATAGGGCATAAGAAATTATGGTGGTTGTTTGTTTGTCTTTTGTGTCCATTGCTTAATTAATCCGAAGGCGGAGTTGGCAACAGTAAATTCATATTCATGACCAATCAGGGCTGTTTATCACAGACCAAAACATCCATTAAAACAGTGTTGAAGCTCAGTCAAAATCAGATGTGAGATAGTAGTGCCTGAAACCTCCAGCCTGAAACCACCACTATTGAATGCCCATTACCCATTCTTAAGTAGGCAAGTTGGTGATGTCATGTTTGATGTAGGTACCACACACACACAGATTCTCATTAAACAAATCAGCTTTTTTTGTACATATTTGGTCTTCATTATACATATATACATTTGTTACCTTTTCACAAATCTTCTGCAAGAAGTAAGCTATACAACAGGCCATGTTCGTAATCGGCTCAATAATATTTTCTGGAGAGTCAATGTTGGGGGTAAGTTCCCTTTCTAGGAGGATACTGCTTATCTCAGACAATCCATAGTCCCCTACATCGCAGTGTGCTGCTGTACGTGTGCACACCACAATACGTCTAACATTTCTTAATTGGCAGCTACATGCCTTCAATGCCTTTTTCCACCACCAGCAGGTTTTTACAAGGGCACAGAAATACCCTCAGAATGTCACTGCATTTATTTAATAAAATCAGATTTATCTTCGGTCATTCTGATTCTGCACTGTGTGTGTTATGAGAAGGAACAATGGCCAGCTCGGTGTGAAGGCTATGATGAAGCCAGAGCATATGTTTGCATTGAGGGGGGTGGTGAAATGCAGAGTGGATAGATAATTATTGCTTGCTCTGGGGAGAGGCTGCACTCAGCAACAACAGAGCATGTCTGTGGCGAGGGAATAGCTGTCTTCTTCAGCCAGAGGATATTAATGGCAGGGATCTACTGTTCCATAAGAACAAGTCAAGCAAGAGCAGTCCATCTCCATCATTTTCAAATCCCCTGTTCTATCTTACTGTCGCTCATAAACACACAACTTTCAATACCTGAAGCTCTATTTCACTAATATATGTTGCTCAAGAACATGTGAGTTTACAGTGTGTTGTTACATACTTGCCAAATAAATAAAGCTGGTTTGTGATGTGCTGATTTTTCCCCTTATGTCTGTTTCTCTGCAGGGAAGATGAGAAGGAGTATGCACTGAAACAAATTGAAGGCACTGGAATATCGATGTCTGCTTGCAGGGAAATCGCTGTAAGTTAAGATACTGCTTAATGATGCTGTTTTGTCCTTTATTTAGTCCTTTCTCCTATCAATGTTTTCCTTTCTACTGTGCTTTCTGTCTCCTACGATACATTCTTATGTGTAGTCGCTTATTGGCTCTAGCCTCAGTTGATGCTATGTAAACGAGTAGGAACCTAAGGACTGTTTTCTTTGATTGTAGAGTGTAACCCTGCACCGATGTGCTTCCAGGATTGGAATCTGCATGGTGCAGTGTTCCTAATGGCTGAAGCATAAGCAATAGAGACATCACCATGGCCATGTAAACATGATATATACCAGTACTCAAGTGCTTGGCAAGATACACACTGTAGGAGAACAATAAAGGTCTGCACATTTTATGGCTCCCACATATCTGCTGTATGGAGTTCAGGCCTCCAATGTGTTAAACAATACTGCAAATAGACAAACACACACAAGCAAGTGCCCTTGTGAATAGGCCATCCACCCAGCTGCTCTTTGCTTACACTCAGCTGTCACTTTTCATTTTTCACATGATCTTTAGGTTATTCCTAACCCAGTGTTAACCCTTTACACTCGTGGGAATTGGCCAATATGGATAGTTTTAAATTGAAATGTTTCTTAAAGAAGAAATATGAAAAGCATATGCATAACCATGGTAGCAATTTAAAGGGAACAGTTTGGAGATAATGGGAAAATTATAAGACCAAAGTTGAGGACACAACAGTTCACCTGACACAAGACTGAATCCAAACATTATCCTTGATTTTATGTGCATTTCACATTTATTGTACTTTTCGCCGCATTTGTTGATAACGAAATCTGAAAATACTCTGGATATATTCAGTAACATGATTAGACTATTCCTGGAAAATGTGGGGTAGGTGCAACATAAGACTATGGATTCCAACTCCCACGGACAACTTTATAACGGGGGTCTTCAACCTTTTCTTACCCAGGGACCCCCTCCCAGGCAAACTGGTGAACCATCATACATTAGCAAAAAAATACATCACATGTCTTATCTTATCATCAGGTGAATGATAATGGCAAGGAGAAGTAATCATCAACATTTTAAAATTAATAGATTTGGTAGATAGTTGCTCATTTTTTGGACCTCCCCACATTATAATTGGAAGAGAAAGTATGAAGTCTAACATAACATAGCCTACTAGCTAGAAAGTTAACTCCAAACACATTTTCACTAAGAGCAGCTGTTTAGTTGGTTACAAAAAGGTTAGTCATGGGTTGGCAAAGATGTATGTCCAAGTCAAGACAGCTTATCAGCAGCCAGTGGCACTTGCCTCACTGGTAGCCTATTCGCCGGTGCTTTTTCAAAGCCTATGTCAGATATTCCAGTGAGTTAAATTGGCTTCAATGACTGTAATTTGCTCAAAATTAGGAGTTGAGAAATAAAGTTGACATCATTAGAAAGAAGATATTCTCCTTTCTTCTACTGTGGGTATATACAGTGGGGAGAACAAGTATTTGATACACTGCCGATTTTGCAGGTTTTCCTACTTACAAAGCATGTATAGGTCTGTAATTTTTATCATAGGTACACTTCAACTGTGAGAGACGGAATCTAAAACAAAAATCCAGAAAATCACATTGTATGATTTTTAAGTAATTGATTTGCATTTTATTGCATGACATAAGTATTTGATCACCTACCAACCAGTAAGAATTCCGGCTCTCACAGACCTGTTCGTTTTTCTTTAAGAAGCCCTCCTGTTCTCCACTCATTACCTGTATTAACTGCACCTGTTTGAACTCGTTACCTGTATAAAAGACACCTGTCCACACACTCAATCAAACAGACTCCAACCTCTCCACAATGGCCAAGACCAGAGAGCTGTGTAAGGACATCAGGGATACAATTGTAGACCTGCACAAGGCTGGGATGGGCTACAGGACAATAGGCAAGCAGCTTGGTGAGAAGGCAACAACTGTTGACGCAATTATTAGAAAATGGAAGAAGTTCAAGATGACGGTCAATCACCCTCGGTCTGGGGCTCCATGCAAGATCTCACCTCGTGGGGCATCAATGATCATGAGGAAGGTGAGGGATCAGCCCAGAACTACATGGCAGGACCTGGTCAATGACCTGAAGAGAGCTGGGACCACAGTCTCAAAGAAAACCATTAGTAACACACTACGCCGTCATGGATTAAAATCCTGCAGCGCACGCAAGGTCCCCCTGCTCAAGCCAGCGCATGTCCCGTCTGAAGTTTGCCAATGACCATCTGGATGATCCAGAGGAGGAATGGGAGAAGGTCATGTGGTCTGATGAGACAAACATATAGCTTTTTGGTCTAAACTCCACTCGCCGTGTTTGGAGGAAGAAGAAGGATGAGTACAACCCCAAGAACACCATCCCAACCGTGAAGCATGGAGGTGGAAACATCATTCTTTGGGGATGGTTTTCTGCAAAGGGAACAGGACGACTGCACCGTATTGAGGGGAGGATGGATGGGGCCATGTATCGCGAGATCTTGGCCAACAACCTCCTTCCCTCAGTAAGAGCATTGAAGATGGGTCGTGGCTGTGTCTTCCATTATGACAACGACCTGAAACACACAGCCAGGGCAACTAAGGAGTGGCTCCGTAAGAAGCATCTCAAGGTCCTGGAGTGGCCTAGCCAGTCTCCAGACCTGAACCCAATAGAACATCTTTGGAGGGAGCTGAAAGTCTGTATTGCCCAGCGACAGCCCCGAAACCTGAAGGATCTGGAGAAGGTCTGTATGGAGGAGTGGGCCAAAATCCCTGCTGCAGTGTGTGCAAACCTGGTCAAGACCTACAGGAAACGTATGATCTCTGTAATTGCAAACAAAGGTTTCTGTACCAAATATTAAGTTCTGCTTTTCTGATGTATCAAATACTTATGTCATGCAATAAAATGCAAATTAATTACTTAAAAATCATCCAATGTGATTTTCTGGATTTTTGTTTTAGATTCCGTCTCTCACAGTTGAAGTGTACCTATGATAAAAATTACAGACCTCTACATGCTTTGTAAGTAGGAAAACCTGCAAATTCGGCAGTGTATCAAATACTTGTTCTCCCCACTGTAGTTCAAAATGTGTTTATTCTATTGTTGATAGCGATATAAAAAAAACATTGCAATTTCCACATGGACAAAAGTAATATCTTTGTAAGAATGCTGTTCATTGACTACAGCTCAGCATTCAACACCATAGTCCCCTCCAAACTCATCATCAGGCTCGGGACCCTGGGACTGAACACCTCCCTCTGCAACTGGATCCTGGACTTCCTGACGGGCCGCCCCCAGGCGGTGAGGATAGGCAACAACACATCCGCCACGCTAACCATCAACACGAGGGCCCCTCAGGGGTGTGTGCTTAGTCCCCTCCTGTACTCCCTGTTCACCCACGACTGCGTGGCCGCACACGACACCAACACCATCATCAAGTTTGCTGACGATACGACACTGGTAGGCCTGATCACCATCAACGAAGAGACAGCCTATAGGGAGGAGGTCAGAGACCTGGCAGTGTGGTGCCAGGACAACAACTGCTCCCTCAACATCAGCAAGACAAAGGAGCTGATCGTGGACTACAGGAAACAGAGGGGTGAGCACACCCCCATCCACATCGATGGGGCTGTAGTGGAGCGGGTCAAGAGCTTCAAATTCCTTAGTGTCCACATCACTAAGGAATTAACATGGTCCACACACACCCACACAGTTGTGAAAAGGGCACAACAGCGCCTCTTCCCCCTTAGGAGGCTGAAAAGATTTGGCATGGGCCCTCAGATCATCAAAAGGTTCTACAGCTGCACCATTGAGAGCATCTTGACTAGCTGCATCACCGCTTGGTACGGCAACAGAGGGTGGTGAATACGGCCCAGTACATCATTGGGGCCGAGCTCCCTGCCATCCAGGACCTCTATATCAGGCGGTGTCAGAGAAAGGCCCAAAAAAATTGTCAAAGACTCCCGCCACCCAAGCCATAGACTGTTCTCTCTGCTACCGCACGGGAAGCAGGAGCAGTGCACCAAGTCTGGAACCAACAGGACCTTGAATAGCTTCTACCCCCAAGCCATAAGACTGCTAGGCAAGACTGCTAAATATCAAATGGCAACCCATACTACCTGCATTGACTACCTACACACTGGACTGTACCCACACACTCACACATACTTACACTCACACCACAACACAAACTGTATATACACACACACACACACTACATATGACCACACACACATAACATTCGCACACATGTATACTGAGGACACACACACACTTTCACACTCACCACATACAGTGAGGGAAAAAAGTATTTGATCCCCTGCTGATTTTGTATGTTTTCCCACTGACAAAGACATGATCAGTCTATAATTTTAATGGTAGGTTTATTTGAACAGTGAGAGACAGAATAACAACAACAAAAATCCAGATAAACGCATGTCAAAAATGTTATAAATTGATTTCCATTTTAATGAGGGAAATAAGTATTTGACCCCTCTGCAAAACATGACTTAGTACTTGGTGGCAAAACCCTTGTTGGCAATCACAGAGGTCAGACGTTTCTTGTAGTTGGCCACCAGGTTTGCACACATCTCAGGAGGGATTTTGTTCCACTCCTCTTTGCAGATCTTCTCCAAGTCATTAAGGTTTTGAGGCTGACGTTTGGCAACTCGAACCTTCAGCTCCCTCCACAGATTTTCTATGGGATTAAGGTCTGGAGACTGGCTTGGCCACTCCAGGACCTTAATGTGCTTCTTCTTGAGCCACTCCTTTGTTGCCTTGGCCGTGTGTTTTGGGTCATTGTCATGCTGGAATACCCATCCACGACCTATTTTCAATGCCCTGGCTGAGGGAAGGAGGTTTTCACCCAAGATTTGACGGTACATGGCCCCTCCATCTTCCCTTTGATGCGGTGAAGTTGTCCTGTCCCCTTAGCAGAAAAACACCCCCAAAGCATAATGTTTCCACCTCCATGTTTGACGGTGGGGATGGTGTTCTTGGGGTCATAGGCAGCATTCCTCCTCCTCCA